ATTTTGTAGTTATTTATAACTTTAAATTACTTTTAGATGTAGGTTTATTTATAATAGTTATAATTCAAATATAAATGATAATTGTTTTAGAAATATAATAATAAATAAAAAAATTTTATTTACTAATTTTAAACAAATAATAACTAATAAATTGATTAATATATAATTAATTTATTTTTATATAAATTTAAAATAAAAATTATTTCGATTCAACGCGTACACTCGAACACAGGTATTGCAATGTCTAGGTGTTATCGAACACATACATCTGCACTTTCTCCTTGACTAGAATTTTATGGTATTCGGTTTAAATTTATTATATTAAAGTTAATACGGAAGATTGATAAGAACAAAATAATAACATATTGATAGCTATTAGAAATTTATTCTACAGTAAAAATGTCTAACGAGCGATTATTTATTGTGACATGGTCACAATGCCGGGCTGCAATTTTTAATCAAATTTTTAATTTAATTTAAAATATATCCTCTCCACCTCAAATTAGCAGTGTTTTGCCCCTGTACATCATAGTTTTCCTGCTAGCAAAAGAGCCGTGCCGGTCATCTATCTAACACATTTCGGGAGAAAATGTTTGAATTGACTGATGTGACTTTCGTTGCAAACTAGAAGTTCCTGTATTGTTAGTTAATCGTAATCGGGATCTTCGCTTACCAAATCTAGTTTCGACTTTTATCTATATAACTCCGCTCTTTACATTAAGGGAGTTAGATAGACAGTTGGAATTTATATCTATAATATTTTCAAATTGCAGCTCAAAAAATATATTAATATAAAAATACGTATACAACGTCTTAGGAAAAATAATATTAAAAAAGAAAGAAGAATATTAGTTATACAGAAACATAACTGATAACGACGATATTTAATGAAAATGTTTGTTTAAAAACTTTCACAGTATGAAGTAATGACTTTATATTATACTTTAGAGCAGAAATAAACCTACATTGAAAATCCTTTATTGCTTTCACAAAGTACTATTTCTTGCAGTTGACAGAAAGGAGATATGTTTATTGCGTTTTCCTTTCCTCTCTGTTGTCCCTGAGCGCTCTTTTCATAACCGTGACGAGTTTGTCCAGGCCCGCAACGAAAACTGCCGGCTGAAGAAGAACGGAGCCCGATATAACTGGTTACGGCGCCCACGAAGAGTTCTCGTAGAAAACTAAAAACTACATTTAGAGCCTACGTGTGGGTCATTTATTCGCTGTAGAAATGAAGGGAGAACTATTTCCAGGGCTGTACAGGACAGGCGTTATCCGAATAAAAAATTTGTAAGGATAAACATTAAACTTAAAACAATATTAAAAGTTTTATTTATTTTATAGCCCGGGAGGCACCAAGTATCTCTTCTACTTTAGAATAAATTTACATATTTTCCCGAATCTTAAAAAAATAAATTACTGTTATTTTATTATAAAAAATTTATACTAAAATTAAAACGTGCAAAACTACTCTTTAAAGAAATATGCACGTACAGTACAAGTACTTATTAAGAGAGAAGGAATTAATTTGCCGGAATTTTGTTGCTAACAGCTGGAATGGATGTGCAGTTCTAGCAATGAAATGACGCAATTATTAGTAGTGGCTTTGTTTACGCATAAAAATTACATATATTAATATAAAATATTAATCGTAAATAAGTAAGTTATTTACTACTGTGCTATAAATCGTAGAAATGTTGCTAATAATAATATTATTAATATCAATTAATAAAAAGTACTGAAATATTTTTATTATATAAAATTTAAATTAATATTGTTTTAAGTTTAATGTTTATCCTTACATATTTTTTACTCTGATAACGCCTGATCCTGTACAGCCCTGGAAATAGTTTTCCCTTCATTTCTATAGCGAATAAATGACCCACACGTAGGCCCTAAACGTAGTTTTTAGTTTTCGGCGAGAACCATTCGTGTGCTTTGTAGAATTATACATCTATATAGCCTGTTGTACAGTCGGTCGCTACTTTATTAAATGGTGAGAAATCGAGAAAAATTACATGAAAATAGTTTTATTTAAGGTGAATTTATTCGAAAAATACGGTGAATTAAAGAAACTCGTTTTCCTCTCTACCAAGTTATCAATTTAATATGCACCACAACTTTATAACTTTCAAATAAATTATGTTAAAAAATTAGAGGAGATCGAAATCGCGGACAAAAGATTTTTTTTACTCTATCACTAGACTCGTTAGAGAAAATTTTGATCTTTTTATATCACACGATACTCCAATTTGCTGGCTACCGTATGCTATAAGACATTTAAAAATCTAGCTATTCCCCCAAAATAAAAATTAAACAACTACGGGTATTCCCTGTGGCCCGGGGAAATAGCAGACACTACGCGAAGTAACACAGGTCGGCTGGAAAGTTGCAAAAATTTGTCAGACAAAGACAACAAGGAAATGAAATAATTTATTTACACATTGTCATTAGAAATTAAAATACAACAGATTCGCCAACTTATGAAAAAGGAAATGAACATCTCGAATATTACTTGTAATAAGCAATTTTGAAAGAAAATATATTTCAAAAACAACACCATTTTCAGCTGCACAGAACGTAACAACATATGTCGATACTACGTGGGCGATAGGAATAGTGACTCAACGTGACGATGCAACCAACGTTTTATTTTTTTACATTTCGTGTCCGAGATTGCCTCTGTCTTCCCTAATAGGAATAATTAAATAATAAGAATATAGAAAATAAACGAAACTCGAATGAAAATATACAACACTGCAGAAAAAGTTACAAGTGCTAATTGCTAAGATTTACTTCCCGACTTAGTTCTAAATGCTTCAAATTTAGGAAAATCTTAACTCGATTATACGTGTCAAGTAAACAGCATCTACGCTTCATCTTAACATACACGATTGCGTAAGATATCACGTTACGTATATTTTTAACTTTACGTAAATCAGTATTTTTTTATGGATGAATAACGTTAGTCGAAAGCAACGTAACACAAGCATCGCATTAGCAAGAATTGACTACATGTAGACAGTCAATTCTAGAGCACTACAGGCGCAAGCATTCAAAATAATAAAATAATTGAAATTTAATTTTATGCAGAAACAATTCATCAAGAAACTAGACAAATTAGAAGCTTAAGTAGGGCAAAATAAGACGTATCACTCGATTAATATTAATGTAGTATTCTGTACTAACGGAGTTGTAGTGCTAATGACGGGTCCTCAATAGAGAAAGCAGCGCCATTTCCACCTTTCATATTTAAAAATCTACAAAAAATAGAATTATTGAAGAATTAAAATTATAAAATAGAATCATTTGACGCAAAACGGCGTTATTAGTTTAGGAAATGTTCGCATATGGATGTTCGCATATGGATGGCCTAGGGGATCCATATTTGTAAATCTGCCAACTTGTATAGGCCCATAAGGTATGCTGAAGTTAATGTACTGATACGCTTAAAAATATATATCAATTAAGCCCTACGAAATAATAAAATTAAAATTTAAGTACAATTTTAAATTATTATTTACCAATAAAAAATATCATTCAATACATTTATAAAATCAAATGATTTTCTCTGTTTAGGCTTCTATAAGTAATTATAATTAATTTAGATTAACATATACTGTACGAACTATAGTGGGCAGCTGTACAGTACGGCTACACAAGTACGGCCGCTTGTACGGACACAGCAGTTGTATGATAAGCGTATCATTACTACATTTTGGTGAGTAAAACAGGTTCAAAAATCTGGTTACTACTTCTACATCAATTCAAATATAAGAAATATTTTTATTAAAACGATTTGCCATCCGTTAGCTACACATTAATTCCGTCCAATAAAAGCATCAAATATATTTTTATTTTATAGTTATACGTTTTGAAAAAGCAAAATTAAATTAGTCGACTACGAAGATTAAAATTAAATACATTAAAGTAAATATAAAATATGATTTCTTAAAATTCAAAATTATTTTAATTAATAAATTATAAATGTTTCGAACACAAAAGCTTTAAATTATTTATGTTTAATGCTCAATTTTAAATGTTTAAACTCTTTTATAGCCCGATATTTTAGCTACTAATTTTTGTTTATCCCATTCTTGAACTTCTGGTTACGTTTATCGTCATAATTAAAGGCATAAAATTGTCGATTATAACGAAAACGACAGTGTAATGTTGAAACAATTACAACTATATAAGAATTTTTTTTTTAATTTACTGGAAGCGATACGAGTCAAACTACCTTCATTTAATACTCATTTCGATACAAATATTCAGCGTAGATAGAATTTGAAGCTACAGAATTTTGAAATCAAAAATAATGAAAAAGGATACAAATTTTAAGTTAATATCTGTTCTTTGTTTCCTATAAAAAGAGAAGCTTAGTTCAGGGGGTTTTCAAACTGTTTTGCTCGTCCACCCTTTGCCAGATTTAAACTGATTCAATCGTCTTCTTTCTGTATTGATGCAATTTAAAGACGTGTAAATTATTATATATTATTTTCAGTACATTTTTAAACAGGACCTGTTCAGGAACGCTAACCACCGGTTTACAACTTTTTTAACCAGAAAGGAGCGTTGATTAAACAAATGAAAAGTTGTTATTGAAATAAAAACACGGTATTTGACAGTCGTTTCTTAAGCTACGTAAATGTTTTTAAATTACTGTAAATGCTATTTGAAAGCGCTGGATTAAATGATACTGCGCGATACATAAAAAGCAGTGTTAATGACAAATGTATTATTACTTTAAATTAAATGTATAATCCCAAAATTAAATTTTGAAATAAACAATAATTCTCTTATTCATAAATTTGAAATTAAATTTATTTTATATATATTAAATTTAATTTATAAAACATAAAATTCAGTTTATAAATTTATTTAGGTGAAAAAAAACGAATTGCAGATAAATTGTCGTAAGCACCAAATGTGCAAATGTATCTATAGACGTCATTCCAAGTATTACGCATCATATTATCATCACTAGTTTTCAGCAATTATATATTTGCGTGATGTATTACGTCACATCCATTGGCTATAAAATGAACCAAGGTGTTCGACGATTACCGTTACGAGTACTGAAAGGTAAACTTTCTCTTCATACTTTATCCCAATACTTGCGCCGCTTTTAAATACTTTATCGTTTATTTTAATCGTTATTTTTTACATTAAATTATTTTAATTTTTCATTTAATATAATTTCGTATGTTTAGAAATCATAAAATTTGCTTATTTTATCCTTTAAACAAAGATGTTGGGCCCAATGTATCATAATAGCAGTATTTAACCTAACAAAGTACAGAGGGTGCAGAGTGTCCCGTTTTTTAGGATTCTATTGGTTATTAGTACTCCCCTCAAATAATAATAATAATAATGTTCCCAAGTTGTACGTAATTTTTCATTTAATATAATTTCGTATGTTTAGAAATCATAAAATTTGCTTATTTTATCCTTTAAACAAAGATGTTGGACCCAATGTATCATAATAGCAATATTTAATCTAACAAAGTACAGAGGGTGCAGAACGTCCCGTTTTTGAGGATTCTATTGGTTATTAGTACTCCCCTCAAATAATAATAATAATGTTCCCAAGTTGTACGTAATTTTATTATATCAAAATATAAATAAAACACAAATATATAAATAAATATGTGAAAACTATTAGTGAAAGGTTTTATGTTATAAGATAAATTTATAATTTATTATGAATAAATAAATATTAATAACCATTTTCGATATTGTAGGACAGAATAACACTAAAAATATGATGAAAGGAATATTGTCGATTATTTTTTCCTGCGTGTTGTTTATTGTTGCTTTGGGCGATCACCACGATCCTCACGATATATTTTACGAGCTTTATTGCGGTAAGAAACTTTTTGAATTTTAATCAGTTATTATAACAAAAAACCTAATTAGTTTTTAAACTTTAAGTTTTTTATTCCTTCCCTTCAAAAATCTACAGAACGCGCTCGCTATTTACGATATTTAAAGTATTTCTCATGCCAGAGCGATAAGGTTACCGTAAACAGAAAATAAACTTAGGCTTATATATAACAATTGAATAAATAAATTCTTTAAATACAGTCAAAGCTCTGAAAAACGGCCAGAGCACGAAAATGGTAGTTGTTAAGAGGTGACCATTATTAGAGGTTCGACTCTAATAAATAAAATGTACCATACTGTCTGTCGTTTTTAAAATTTTGCTAAAGGACTAAAAAGAACAGTGACTAAAAATGAGTGTCTTACAAGAAAGATTTCAAGGAAAGTTTGCGAAATCCTCATCTAGACTATTAATTATTGTTTTCACTTACCAATTTTCAATGAAATTTTACGTAAATGTTAATAAGATAGTTTTTGTAATTTATAGATATTTTTATTTGCCGCGACATCATGAATGCTCCGAAGTTGCAAAAATTATTTTCACCAAATTACAAATGCAGTACTTATTTCTTTTTAAATAATAGAAGTTTATTTTCTTTAGTTTTTAATTTTAAATTTGATATTTAATGTTTTTTTCTATTCGTCTGCCAGCAAATAAAAAAGTCCGAATTCGGATTAAGTTAAAAAAGATAAATTAATTGGTTTTAAGAAACATTTTAGCTTAAGAAATATCAAAAATTTTATTTACAACGAAACAGTTTTACTATGTTACATCCTATCATCAGCAATTTTATTATGATTTCACTTATTATTATTATTATTTTATTATAATTTATAGAACACCACGACGTTGAATATTTAAGAGCATGTTTGCATAAATTACCTGAATATCGAGGGGTAAAGTATATTGACCAATTTTATTAAAATTTAAGAGATATTTTCAACTTTTAAGATTTTAACAGATATATTGAATTTTAAAACTTAGATTATGCCTATATTTTATGATTGTATCGATGAAGTCCAGCCCGGTTTAGATACACCAGAAAAAAGAAAACAGTTTTTCTGCGGTGACGATGGTATAAAGGTAATGCAAATAAACGTATTATTGAAATATCATACAGTATGACTTTTTAAAATCAAATTTATATTTAAGGGAATTAATAAATAAAGTAAAGAGAAATGAATTTTGCTTTATAATATCTTATATTAATTATTTTTAAACTCAGTCCTATACCGAACCACGACATTAATATTGAATAAGAAAAAATACGAAAAGTTCGATGATTTGTGTAATAACATATAAATTAATTCTTTGCAATTGTCATTGTTTCAGAAATTCAAAGAATTGGACGATCTGTTGCACGTAAAATTTACCGAAGGTCAGCTTCATGTTTTTGACGAGAGCATGACGGTAAGTTCTATTGCATTTCTGTAAATATCACTTTGAAAATAAAATTATCCAGAAAATTTTACAATCGATTTGAAAACCTTATTGATATTTTGCAGAAATGTTTAGCTGAAAAAGAGAACCAGAAATAATTATGCAAAATGGTAAACATTCTTGATAATAAAGTGAAATATTTTTAAAATTGGAAATCTTTTTAGTTAGTTTTTATAATAATTTAAAAAATTTTCTAAAATACTATTGTTATAAAATTTATTTAAACTTACTTTAATGTTTATTACAAGAAATTTAAATTAATTTTGTAACAATATTTTAAGTACAAATGGTAACGTTTCTGTTTTAATTTTTCGTTTTATTTATTTCGACAGAACGCAGAAAACAATTACTTGGATTTTATTGGAATTATATTTATGGTGTGCACAAAAATTAATAGACTGTTTTCAAAAATTCTTTTAAATTGCTTAAAATTTGAGTGTAAATCGAACATTTGATAGCAAATAAATTAACTTTAAACATTAAACAGAATTTATTTTTATTATATTCTTCCAAACTGATTTTAATTACCTAATCAATACTTATTACATTAATAGAATAGGATAGGACGGAAAGACAAACGCTTTATATGTAAACGCACATTAATGCCACTAACTAATTTATCCCGGTAAACAAGTTGCCACGGCCTTCCAATCGAATGAAATTTTGTCGATGCACACGTAACGACGACGGTAAGACAAAATCCTGTCAACAGCAGTGCCGAAAGTTCGGTCATATTACGAAGAGACAATAGAGGTAATTTCGAAGAAATTAAAACAAAATCTGCTAAAGCTTCCTCTCCTTAAAAAATCTTTCCAAATCCCTCACAATATTTAGATGTATTTTTGTTTTATTTTATGTTAGATAAAAGATTCTAAGTTTTTAAAACAGCAACCTTGTTAAAATTAAAATGTTTATATCTACATAGAAGTAAATCGTATAAACGTTACACTTTACGTCTTTATTCCGTAAATGATATAAGAATATTTGTAAAGAACTGCAGGTCTACGTTAATCGACTTTATTTTTTGGTATTAAATTATGTGTTTCTATACATACATACGTATATTCATGGTTTTTCCCTTTCGGGTTGTCATAGAATTAGCTGCCTCTACACTGCACGATCTAAACATACTTCTCTCGCTTCTTCCACACTCATTGAGGCATTACGTACACAAGTACGCTGACTACGTCCACGCATACTCACAATATTCTTTTCAATCAAGGCATATCGAAGTCTATCGGTCCTCTCTGATGGACGGCTCCTAGGTCGCTTGCCATACACCTCACCAACATAGACTCGCTTCAACAGTCCCGTTCAAACAACCTTAGCAACCTCACTTGCTTGTTTTTGCATTCCACACAGCAATCCTTTCATTCCTTATGCTATCCATGAACGTCTTGCAACAAACTGCCCGCAGCATTCTGTTCTACAGCATTCACTCCATTTCCAAATTTCTTCTGCCGCGCCCACATTTTACACCCATAGGAAAGGAAGGTAACAGCACTTGCTTGCACACAGATAATCCTACTCTCTTAGACGTACTGTACACTCATTCCGAAGCAGACTGTTAAACGCAGCAACGACTTTCAACCCAGCCGCTTTTCTCCTGGCTATCTTCCCCTTCAACTCACCATCACTTTGTAACATGCTTCCCAAGTATACGAAGTTGTCCACTTGTTCCACTCTCACACCATCCAGCGGCAAGTGGCAAGCTGTTCTGTCAACCTTTGCACGTTCAAACACCATGCACTTAGTCTTATTAGCATTTATTCCTAGTTTTTTCTCTTGCAATACTTTGTTAAATGGACTAAGCATCCTCTGCATTTTCACTTAACAACACTGCATCATCTGCATACAACAACACACGCACATTCTCCCCTTGTTATCAATCAAAGCTTCAAGCACACCTGCATCCAAAAAGATATTAAATAGCCACGGACTCATTAACACCCTTATCGCACTTCCTTCTGAATTGCAAAGAATTCAAAGGAGGTAGGGCTCACACGCACACATGCCTGACAGTTCACCTACATAGACTCTATCGCATACATCAACTTTTCAGATACTCCATATTCACTAATACCTTCATACAGTAGCGTGCCGTGACATTTGATGATAGGGAAGCTGTGTTTCTGTAATCATCAATTTAATTGCGCGTCAGTGATGATCTAGGGTCCATTCGAATTCATTTGTTCGAAAAGCCAGAAAAACCGTAGACTTCTCTAAATGTATTTTTAATATCACAATTGCATTCTGAATCGCTAACCACGATATAAGGGCAACAATTAAAAATAAAATTATAAAAATCTACTTGGTGAATAAAATGTGTGGTGGATATACATACCTGGTACAAAATATTTTTCAATTGTATGAATATACTTTTAAATAAAATTATAATTAAATATAGCTGTGTAAAGAAACGTAGATTAATATACGAAAAACTTCTTTACTTTTTAAAATCTTAAAACAATCCACCTAGTCAAATAGCTCCCTACAACTGCTGGCTAATGGATGGAATCGAAGACGCCTAGTAGATGTGCAGTGCGGGTTGCCAAATCCCGAGGGTGCCGATACCGGTCAATGTCAAATGCCTGTTTAGTCGCATCAGTAGTATATCTCAAAGGACGCGACAGGGTTGTTGTAAATTTTAAACGTTTCTCGCCATAGCTGTAAAAATCTAAATATGTTAAACTTAATAGATTGTCCGTCATTTGTTTTCTAACTAATTCGTTTTAGCACCAGATGTCCACGGAAATTTCTAAAATTTACAACTTTTCGGTCACTCTCATTGAACTGGAAAAATTACTTTCTTTATTACATCTAATATTACAAAGAAATCAGTCCCCACTGTACTCGGCTAGAGATTGGTTCGGTTAAGCTTTTGTTTAAGTAAAATTCCGGATCTTTCAGCAGGGTTTTATTTATAATAAGTTGAAACCATTTACTTTGCACTTGAATATTTGTAGTCTTGGGAAAGAAGTGGAAAGACAAATTTTTATGACAAACGGATACATAAATCATAAATTTAAGGAAAATAAATTCTAGGACTTTTTTGTACCTTGTGCATCTCATTCATTACATTTAGTTGTAAATGATGCTGCCAAAGTAACAGTTAATTTTTTTACATTATACTAGAATTGTACGCGTTTTTTTCTCTAGCCCCTTAAAGATGGGATATACGAAATCGTAATATCACTGATTTAACATTGAAATCCGTGAGTAATATAAAATCGGAGAGCGGAATAAAAATATCAAATATTTTAATGGATTTTTTTAAACTCCTGTCAACAATACAGAACTAACATAAAAACATACCAGTAAATTCTTATCGGTTGAGTTAAGTTATAGATCTACTCGTGATTCACGTAATCGGGCGAAAGCGGCCAAATATCTAGCGGGCAGGCGGCTAACAGTCAGAACCGGTTCTGGGGACCTATTCTGAATAGTATCGTTAAGCTAACGAATACGATAAAAACCAGTTTCTATCGGAACCACGTGATTCGCGTTTAATCAACTGTGAAAATGCTATTCCGAGCCGTACGTTTCGTTTTCGATCCCGATAGCCACGTCCGATAACTAAGCTTTTGTTATCGATCACCCTCGAGCTGCCATTAGTAACGTAAGGAAAGTGTAAACAACATAGCGTCTTTTGGTGTAAGAATGATTTTACTTCACGAGCAAATGGAGAGAGAGTTACTATGTTGTTGTATTGCTTAAAAATAATTACCTTAAATTAAGTATTTATGAATATTGTATGAATAATGTAATTGCTTTCTTGTTAAAATTTAAAGTAAGTAGCTATAGCATGAACATTATTTCTGAAACAGGTTTCATTCGCATATGTATAAATTAAAATGATAGTCATATATTTGTATATTTATATTCTAAGCTCTCGGTTACTTTTCGCCACCTTTCTGGGTCTTTTTGTGAGCGGAGTCCATCGGAATTCGGACGGTCGGCAATTTCTTGCCACAATTTCTGGCGATCTTTTACGGTAAAGAAAGCGTCTAACTTCCCTGACATTAATTTAGGGTTTTCTTCTATAAAATTAACGAGCATCTCGAACTGGCGACTTGTAGTTCGCTGGCTTCGTTGGCCTTTCTTCGACATTTTAAAACAAAACTATTTTACTAGTGCTGGTACGCGACAATGCTAAAACCACATGCTTCGCTTAGAAAATAGTGAGTTGCAGTCACGTGTCAAAAATACAATGTTAACTAAACTGTGATTGGTTAAAGCGTAACAGCTATCGATAGCGTGGAACCCAGACGCATCTCGACCGACTACCCGTAGCGAAACCCACTTAACGTGGAGCACAGAATAGCGATTTGTCTAAGGTTCGTTAACTGCATTTCACTATCGAATGTCCCGTGTATCGCTCTCGTAGAGTTATCGGAAGAGCTCAGAATAGGTCCCCTGGATAGAATCATTGGAAGCGTTATCCCGTGTGTAGCATCCACCAACTAAACTGCGTGAGGTTGGCGCTCTGTAAAGTCCGTGCGCAAATGCGTATAATCTGGCTGCTTTACACCATTCAGATATTTTTGCTGTGGAAGCTGTCTCCTATTCGACAAGACAGCGCTTCCATTCCGCCAATTATATTCGAATATACAATAGCAATCTTATCGTTTTTTTCACGTGTAGTATAGAAATTTGTAATAAGATACATAATATGATATGGTTATAATAAAATATTAATTTTAATTAATTCAAAGTACGTACGTCAAAATATGAAAGTAGACGCACAATATGTATTTATACTTTAGAAAATACAAGAAAAGCGGCGCTTCCAAGGACGGCATGCCACTGAAATTTAGAATAATTCTTCGAAACTTCGTTGATAAAAATTAATTGATGAGATTGATTTTCGTTGACAATTTTCCACTTGCGTTAAGCATTTCTGAAAAAAAAATTAATCAAAACTATTTTTATACGAAATAATATAAAAGTTTCATTAATTTATCTGGCAATTTTAATTAGTTTTAAAATTTTGAGTTTGTTCATTATATTTCTTTGTAATTTGGAAAATTAGAATCCGAAAGACAGAGAATCGTAACTAATAAGTGTCTAAACATAAGACGTATCCAATCCAATAAGAAAAACATTTATTTTGTCGAAATGCTTATAAATAATATGTAGTTTCCTTTATCTTTTTCTGTAAAAAATCCGACAATAGTATACTAAATATTAAATATATGTTTCGTCTACATTCAAACAGATCACTGGAAAGCTTTCGATATATATATATTTTTTTTAACTCTTTCCGCCCTGTGGGCACTAAGAGGGCCTGTTTTGCAAGCCCATTATGGGTTCGGCCAGGCTCACAATAGAGCTGCCGGGTGGTGAGGGACGGGACCTGATGTATACGAACGGACCACCCCCCGAAAAATTCCTGGGGAATTTTCGATCCGTTCGGATTCGAACCCGGGTCTCCCAGAACGGAATCCGGGTCCCGGGTCCCGGGTTCCGTTCTTATAACATTAG